ATTTTCAGTTCCTATCTGTACCAGTGTACCTCCTCTGATCTAGCCAGACTTGCAAGGTCGAATTCGAGTCATGGTAGTGGGACCGGGGAGGAAACATTTAGGAACTAGAGGAAAGTTGTATTTCTCATTGTTGTTACATCGCACCCTGACTGGCTTATCTCCTACCCCAGACCCCTCATGCAAGGGGATCTCCAGTGGCCAAGGCTGGAAATCTTAATGGGAGCAGGTAGCTTCATCTTTCTCCTGCAGAGCAGGTGATGGGTTTGAACCTCCAAAGTGGTTAGCAGTACAGTGTTTACCCAACAGTGCCAGCTATCAACCCAGAACTGGGCTCTGCGGTAACTGGCGCTTTGGCAAGTGGAAAGCAGACGTGTAGTTGAACCTCTGTAGTCCTCCCCCATCTCCTTAGCAAGGGCCGCAGAGAATGGGCCAACGTAGCTGGTCCCCAGCCTTGCAGGGCTGATCACTGGGCTCCCAGATATTCCGGACTGGAATCCGTCCCGTGAGGACCCTTGCTTGCAGTGCAGCCGGGTGGCTCATGGGTTCACAGGCTCACAGGAGACGGTGACCCTTCCCCCGAGTGCCCGCACGCAGAGGTTGATTGGCTGTGCGTTCTGCAGCTGTCCATCCCTGGGGGGTTAAGGGACTTTCAGTCCAAAGCTTTCACTTCAGACCAGGCTTCACCGCAGCAAAGGAACTCTTCTCGTTTTAAGGAAGAGATGAGAACGGTGATTGCCAGGAATCCAGGAACTCCCACTCAAAGGTTATCAGAGACATCATGCTTTGGCCAAGCAAGACTTTGGATTGACGTGGTGACCAGCTTATGGGGTGGTGATTTTTGTTTTGACCTTAGGCGTTTAGTATGTTGCGAGTTGCAGGCCTGCCTGGAAGGTTCTGAATATGTCAGTGTACGTGCTTTCCACGACTCCTGTACTGAATCACCACGCCTGAGAAACTTACAGCCACACAGACTGATTACCGTCCAGTTTTGTCGGATAAAAGTCCATGGGTCTCACCGGGCTGAAGCCAAAGGGTTAGCCGGGGTTATGTGCCTTTCTGAAGGACCCACGTCCTTTCCTAGCCCACCTGCTAGAGACGGCTCCGTTTCTTGGCTGCGGCCCCTCCCTCCATTCCGAAGCCGGCAATGTTGCTATCTGTGTGGCCTCCTTCCGCAGTCAGAGCCCCCTCCGGCTGGGGACTCTTTGTTAAGCTCCCTCTCCTACTTGGAAGACAGGCCTCAGTGATGACGGTGAAAAGTCCAAGAAACACTTCCTGTCTTAAGGTGAACTAATTAGCCACCTTAATTCAACTTGCCATTAATTCATTTTTGCTATGTCAGGTGACAGATTCACAGGCTCTAGGGATTCAGACGTAGACACCTTTGTGGGGGTGGGGTGGGTGGGGGAAATATTATTCTATCAAAGTCAATTATGGCATATGTATTAGACTTTGGAAGCTCACTGGGAATGTAGGAGTTATTTGATTGAACTTTCTGTGCACTGCTTAAACAAAACACCCTCTAGCATCCCCTTCATGTCCTTAGATGGTCAGTCTCTCTCCAGTCTCACTACCTTTAATATTTTGTGTGGACAGTTCTCACGTAGGGGAGGCTCTGCCTCATACATTGTGCATTGTCCCAGTAACCCCTGGCCTCAGTTCTGCCTCCTGGGACTTCTCTGGTCATGCCCAGCCCTTCTCTGCAGGCCTTCTCCTGCAGGACTGTCCACAAGGGACTTGAGATGTTCACTGTGCCCTTTCTCACTAGGAGAAGATCCTCACAGTCAGGGGGGCGATGCCATCAGGCTCTGGGCCCTCACACAGCCAGCTGAAGAGCTGCTCTTGCCCGTCTGCTTCCTTCATAACAGTTCACTTATTCATTTTGTTGAGAATATACACAAAAGAGCACACACCAATTCAACAGCTTCCAAGTGTACAATTCAGTGACACCAATTGCATTCTTTGAGTTGTACAACCATACCCACCCCTGTTTCCTAGTCATTCCTGCCTTCCCCATCACCATCAACTCTCTCCCTCCCCTTAAGCTTCCTCTCGAATCTTCTGGTTGCTCTTGCCAGTTTGATCCCACATAGGCAGCTCTTAGCCCCAGGCTTAGGGCGTTTCTTCTATAACTGCCTGTTTTAGTTGGGGTAGACTAGAGAAACAAATCCATAGAAACTCATATGAGTATGAGAGAGAGTTTTATATAAAGGGTAATTGTACATTAAGAAAGCTTCCCAACCCAGTCCAGCCCAAGCCCATAAGTCTGATAGCCTATATGTCTAGTACCAATCTATAAGTTACTCTTCAGACTCATGAACCACATACAATGATGCTGAATGCAGGATGGTCACAGGCCAGTGGGTAGAAAGTCTTTGGATTCAGTGGTGTTGTAAGCATCTTGGTGCTGTCAGGGGTCTCCACGTGGCTCCTCCAGTTTCCAGGGCATGGGGTCTATCAGCGTAGTGCCATGTGTCTTGTCAGTAGAGCATCACCAAGGGAGTGAGCAGAGAGAGAGATAGTGTCTCCCACTTCCAAGAAGAATACAGGATTTCTCAGTATTCTCAGGAGAAGGCCATGCCCACACAGAGGTCTCATTGGCTATGATCCGATTGACAGACTTGGTTCCACCCCTTCACTCTTAATCCTCTCAAATTGACACCAGATGATGTAACTACCATACTGCCTCTACAGACACACTTCAAGTTGACAGGTGAATGAGAAAGCACATTTCTTTTAAGAAACAACTTATTTTAAGACAACATAAGCATACACTATTAACTTTTAAATGAAGCCAAGTGATACTATAGATTTATATACAATGTAGAATATTTAACATCATTCAGCATTTGAGCTAGAGGGGTCCCTGGGGCCGGTCAGTGTGACAGTCTCCCCTGCGTTGTTTGTCTTCACCTGGGGTCCTCACTAAGAACTTTCTGACTATGCTTTTATTGATGACTGAAGTCACGCTTTCATGAATGAAGCCGATTCACTGGGATTAATACTCAATTTATGTTTGCGTCAAATTGACATGTATCCGTAGAGATACGGGTATACCACACAGAGAATTTTGAGATTTGAAGGCTTAGAAGAAAATGGATTTGGCTTTATATTTCTCTCGCTACGTGGATACAAGTCAGCATGGATAGTAGGAGGTAAATGTAAGCAGCATCTGTAATTTTTGCCGAGGAAATTTTCGCGTCAGAGTGAAGTGCCCTGTAAAGTTAGTGTTAACGGAACACAGTGTTTGAGGCAGACGTTCTGTCTTCGTGAAGCTGAACTGTTACTTGGTTTTAAGAAGACGATGCCCGTGGATACTTTTGGTGTAGGGTTTAAGCATGATCTCAGGGCAGGAGTTTGGGGCACTTATCCAGCCTCCATGGTTCCAGCAAGTCTGGATTCCATGAGAATTTTATATTCTGTTCCGCATGTCCCCCTGCTTTGATCGGGATCCTTCTATGGAATCTTTGATCAGAGTGTTCAGTTATGGTAGCCTGACACCACTGATTTCCCTTCAGAGCTCCACAACGGCCAGGTGCTCACAGTTCTCCGGATCGACAATACTTGTGCACCCATCTCATTCGATCTGGGAGATGCCGAAGAACAGTTGCAGACCTGGGGGATTCAGGTGAGTGTGTGTGTGTG